ATCATTGCTGTCAGTTTTCCCATCTTCACTCTTTTTATCCCCTTTCGTTTCTCAAGGGTCTGAATCAACCAGATCTACGGTCTCGTCGTTTCAGTCTTGATTGCTGGGCAATGTACGTCGTGTCGTGTCGTCATCATCTCGGCTCGTGTTTATTGACTCAACTCCCGCACTCCCCGTCTACGCACACCCAGTGAAAGTCCAGACTCCCCTTGCTCAAGGATTCGTCGAACTCGGTGCTGGCCTTGCTGTCGGTCTCGCTGGTCTCGCTGCTGGTTTTGCCATCGGTATCGTTGGTGACGCCGGTGTCAGAGGAACTGCGCAACAGCCACGTCTCTTCGTCGGAATGGTCAGTGATTCTGCCTCTCCTGCATAATCCCACCTAAACGCAATCATGCCCCAGATTTTGATTCTCATCTTTGCTGAAGTCTTGGGTCTCTACGGTCTCATCGTTGCCCTCATCATGCACACCTCCGCGACAGAGATGATTGTGAGTATCCCCACGGATACGTAATCCTACATCTACTCACGAGGTTTCTCGACAGTGTTAAGTGCACGGCATGGAACAAAACAGAAGGTGGTGGTGGATTGATGAAGCAGGAGAAACCGAAGGTTCTTTCGATACCTGTGGGGATCCTCCCCACCCCTCAATATCTTGTCAACACTATCCGAAACTACTTTTAATGTTGTTTCCTTGTTGTAGGAACATAAGCCGACCGTCGACTCCTCTACCGTCTTCATGTTTTCGGATCTGAATGGAACGAACTCTTTTCTTACCCCCTATCTTGCGATTTATAAGCATTGTTCTCGCCTTTCGTTGCTACAACTACACAATTCACGCGTTGTCTCGGAAACACTCACCTCTTGGAAGCTGATGCGAGAAAAGCAGTAGGGCCATGCGAGAAATTTCCCCGCTCAAACTCTCTTCCCCGTTGTTGGATGTAGCGGCGCCTTTGAAGTAAAAGTTTCGGAAGTGGTCAACTTGCCGGCGTGCCAGTGAAGCTAGCAGTGGGAATAGCAGTCATGCTATCTTGAGCGACCACATCCGGATCGGGGTCGACCCAAACCGTCGACTGGGAAGTGCTGCCCCGTACCCATGCTGATCCTCCTCTTTCTCGCAGGACGGTATTAATGTGTAGGTTCCCACTCTTAAGGTCGATTTCTCCGTCGGCGTAAGTAATCTCGAGAGCGCGGGGACGGTCCTCTCGCTCGTTTGAACCTTAAAAACGGCGACGCAGCCCCTAGTTTTGTGACCCGTAAGAGCTAGGAAGATAGCTTTTGGCGGAAGAACCAAGTAGTGCGGGGCCTTCATCCATCTGAGTGGTTCGTATCAAAGAGAAATCATCATTCGTTGGTGTACGCTACGTCCATGGTTCAAGTGTGTACTTAATGAGTCACCGTTACCGAATCACAGAACAGACCACCACTGGTTGCGATTATTCACGGCGTCGCAGTCCCAGACCTGAAGCTGAAAGAGGGAATAAAAGGTTGTGAGTCCAAGTATCAAATAAATGAGGTACATGGGTCGCACATTGGTTCCGGGGGCATATACACCATCCGTGACGTCGATGCACTTGTTTCCACCGGCCCAAGAGATTGACTTTCCGGTTGTATCAGGTCCGTTGACAATCCACTGTTGATTGATGGCCCCATTGCAGGACAAGATTTGGAGGAGATTTCCGTTGGAGATGGCAGCACCTCGAAGAGAGAGACATTTGCTTCCATCGAACGTCGTGATAGGGCCTGCTTCGCCGATAGAAGGGATGACCCAGGTGAGATTCCCGGCAGGGAACGTCGACGTTACGTCGTAGCAAGAAGCAAGGGCAACGTTTGCGTAGTTCTGGTTCTCAGGCGCGGCCATGCAGAAGGGTGAGTGGGGAGAACCACCGCCTGAGATAAGTCGAACACCCGCGGTCGGTGCCCGGCGTGAGATGGATTGGCTGGACCACTTTTGGTTGGAGTTCCTCGCGTCACAGGTCCATATCTGAAGTTGATTCCCGTTGGCGATGTTGCCGTCAGTAAGGTCGACACACTTGTTCGTTCCGGCCCATTGGAAGGTGTTATCCGTGACGGAAATCCATAACTGATTTGGGCTCTGGTTAACACAGTCCCATAGCTGGAGTTTAGTACCGTCCGCGTTTACGCCGTCCTTCACATCCAAACACTGGAAATGACTCGTGAGCAAGACGAGGAACAGGGAAATCGATTGAGTGGTAGGATATGAACCTTGTTACCAAAGATCTTGAGTGGTTGAGCCCCGGAGCTGGAAGTGCCAGCGGGAGTGTAAATCCAGTCTTGTTCCGCATTGAGATTGCAGTCCCAGATCACAACAGGTGCACCGTTTGTGCTGGTCAATGCAGAGATACACCCACGCCGTCCTGCAAGTGGAACTGTAGATTTTTAGACACGGCATGAGTTGGATAAGCGATGGATCAGCGAGATGGTACTAACATGCTGGATTACCACTCTCGATGCGCAAAGCAGCGGTGGCTGCAATGAAGGCGAAAAGACCGATTGCAATGAGAAACATTGTTCGATGTAGTGAAGAAGATGAGAATCGTTGGCTGTAGTGAACGGATATGTCGTATGAGCCCTGGGTTTTATAGGCCGTCTCTGCTTGGGTCGGTCAACAGTGTAGTTGAGCTAAAACCACATTCATCCGATCCGCAGACAACCCAATGGAACGAGAACCACCTCATGAGCGCATGTACAGAATCAGTCCCGCACGCTGGAATCGCAGGAATATGATTTCTGAAGGTCGTAGCAGAGAAAACTCGGTCAGATGGCGTCCCTGTGATGAGCTGCTCTGATCCGTACTCATGGGCCCGCATTCAGTGCTAATCTTGGGTTTGTGTTGTCGACGGAGTGGCATTTCCGAATGTGAGACAGCTAGAATCATAGGCTGGAGGAATAGTTGAGCGGGATGGGGCAAATCATTATGACATGAACATACACCGATGTTAAATCCGAGCCAATCCATGCGAATCGCCTATTCCTGTCGAGTCAAATCAGTAAAAATCGGGAACTTGTCCGCACATGAGTCTTCTATCATGTAATGGCTGCCCATTTACATTCGGTCGTGAGCTGCAAATGACCGTGTAACTTACAAGCAAATCACAGGACCACAGTCCAAGGGGAAGTAAGCCACAGCGCTTGCGCAGCGATTTGTTTCTTGAATCAAACACCATGTTTCTATTTTCAGATTGCTCCTTCGTAAGTACAGCTCTAACGAGCTGGGATAACGACGAGTCACGAATAGCTCACCTTGTTCAATGTTGGTACTAGTAGGTAAAAGGTTAAAAACACCGAACTCCGGTACCCACGGTCCGTCAACGTTTCGCAGTTCAATAATGGATTTCTCACGCTCCAACTCTTTCCTCAACATGGCCACCAGACTCCAGTCCTCCCGTCGCGCGGATTAATAGGGATTCACCTGTACTTCAAGAGTATTATAGCGGGCTCTATTGGCCGTGTTTTCGTCTTCTAGCTTCATAACGGCTATACTATTCAAGCACCAACCCTCCACGCTGTCAACCTGGACTTGACTCTCCCGAGGGCACTGCCAATACGAATTGGTTGCGGGGAATTGAGATCTCGGAGAAGGCGGCTTTTGACCCTTCCTACTGTCGAAACGTGCTACCAGTACCAGTACCCGCCGAATCGACCCGTTGCAAGTTCAGACATATGAATCAGCGGTGGCGACCACGGATCCTTCGCCATCGGCGGCATCTCCTTCATTCACTGCTCTTGGTTGTACTGGAATCAGGACTTTTCAAGGCTCATGGTTATTGGGCTCAATGTGCAGAATTAGGCTCGAGAATTCCTGGCGATTCTGTTGAACTCAATCGATAGCCAGCCTCTTTCAAGGTTTGTTGGCTGTACAGAACTCGAACAGAAGCAGTAGATCCTGGGTGAAAGTACGTGTCATTCATCGGTGAATGTGTTCGAGCTATTAGTTAGCCTTCCTTTTTCGTCATAGCTTCAACTGATCAGGACCATGAAAGACGTGCAATCTCGCCGTTGAAGAGAAGAAAGGAGAAAAGCATGACGACAAGGTTGGGTGTAGAACAGGAAGAGAGATGGTAAATATCTGTGCGTGAAGCTGTACTACAGGAGCCAGCTGCGATCCAGTGAAATGGCGAATTACTGAAGGACGAGATAACTGGTCCTGGTCAACCTTTGGAGCCCTTTTTCTTTTACCTCTGTATTCGCCGCACCTCCACCACTGTACCCTAAGTACGGCAAATCAGCTGGATGAAACAAGTTGAAGGTATGCTAAGAAGCTTACCACCTCCATTATACCGTCTCTTTCAACTCAGGTGCGCGCGTTAGCTTTGTGGGCTTGAATTATGCTACCCTCAAATTCAGTATCGTTCATGGTTGGTCGGCTGCCTCAACTTGGGGATTGTCGTAGGTGACAAAAGCCGAAACCCCTGCGAGCGACCAGTGCTGCGGTCACGCATGACAATGGACTGAGATCAAACCGCATATCAGCCTTCTAGGCCTCAGGCTCGAGGGACCGCGATATCAAGAAAGCGAAGGTGGCAAAGTCGGGGAAAGAATAAAGGGCAAGATAAGATAGATCGCTCACTTGAACGATTTCACCATAATCTGAGGACGCGTATATCTAGAAACAAAGGGACAAAGTGTTCAGAATCAAAAATGTCAACGCGTCCTACTCGATAGGGAAAAAAGAGATACGAGCGTCTGGTTTGTCCGACCAAGTTCAATTTACTGAGGGCAAATTTGAGTCTAGGAGTCCTAGTTGATCAGCTTTGACCCACATCACAGCACGCCGGGATAGAGCTCGAGAGAGCAGCGACAGCAAACCCGATATAAATTTTGTCGCTCATCAGACAGGCAAAAGAACGAGGCGGAGACCAGGAATCGAGGATTGAAAACAAGTGAGCACGATGAATGAGTGTTGGAGTCTTCAACCCACTTTATAAAACGACACAGATGAGTTGACCATCCTGTACGGGGGAAAATAATCCATTTTAACCTCCGTTATGGTGTAGTGGCTAACATTATCGCCTCTCATATGTCCGACCACACTATCGCATCAGGGACGCGATAGCCCAGGGTTCGATTCCCTGTAACGGAACTGTGTAGAATGTCTGATTGTTTTTTCTTCTCCCCTCTCCCCTTGCCATTAGGACGGGTCCATGACGCCGACTAAGAAGCAAACCCTCGAACAGTGGCGAATGAGAAATTTGGACATCTACTCCGAGTCTGGTGTGTTTGGCCCAGGGCCCAGAACCAAATGATCCGCCAACCTCCGTTTCTGGCACGCGCTCATATACCATACCCAATAACTAGAGGAAGAGAAAAAGGGTTGGACGACGAAGCCTCTACCTCTAGTATGAGTACTATATACGTGTCGTTCAGGATTCAAAAGCGAAGGCTGTCATGATATCCAGGCTCCCTAAAGAGTCAAGATGACAATTTGTCTGACTCTCCAGTCCTGACCCGAATTTACACAGATTTACACTGGACGCATGGAAGACACTCGCAGGGGGCTAGCGAGCAACGGCTGCGAAATCTTGAACGAGGGACAGCAAAAAGGAAACGACTCGAGAGTCGTGGCAGCGAATTGAAGTAAGTATCCTATTTCAAACCTTGAAGCTTGAAGACTGAGTACTGAGTACCACGACTTAGAAAGCTCCGACACTTGCTCTAACAGTCATACTGCGACAAGGCTTGCGTCAGTTAGGACGCCGACCGCTGATGGGTGTTACCTTTGTCCAGTATCGGCCTATATTTCGTTGAATCTTGATATTTTCGTCCGTCACCTTTATCAAATTGTCTACTAGTCTTGCCGGCCATAGAGATCGTTGTCCGGGAAGGAACAACATACGTACGTACAAATCACAACATAACCAACCTCCGTTATGGTGTAGTGGCTAACATTATCGCCTCTCATTTGTTTGCTATTCATTGAACGCGATAGCCCAGGGTTCGATTCCCTGTAACGGACTTACTTTTTCAACACCAACTGGCATGCGCGTCTGATACAATAACACGATACATACAACAAAGAGCCTACTAGGCCTTTATACCAAACCTCTTCGCCCTCTCTTCCCTCCTCTTCTTCTCCTCATCATCAACATCGACGACCCCCGTCTGAGCACCAAACTTCTCGGCCCTCTTCTTCTTCCTCTCTGTTTCTTCTGGGGGTGGATTCGGGGAAGCACGTTTCTTGGATGCCTTAGTCGGGGGCGCGTCTAAGCGATGACCAGAGTCGTCAACGGCGATACCGAAACGAGCTGCTCTGGCTTTGAGTTTATCTTCGTCGACGGGTGGGGCTGTGGTCGTGGTTTTGGTGGTTTTGGTGGTTGTGGGTTCGTATTGGATACCGAAACGTTCTGCGCGTTTTCTGCGTTTTTCTTCTTCTGGGTCGGTCGTGGTGGTGGTGGTGGTGGTGAATTCAGGGGGAGGAGGTGCGGCAGAAGTTGAAGTTGGTTTGGACGTCGAGACTGGTTTCGCCGTTGAGGCTGGCTTAGTCGTCGACTCTGGTTTAGTAGACTCTGGTTTGGTAGTGGACTCTGCTGGTTTGGTGGGTTCTATCCAGTCCAAACTAGGGCGAGTTAGAATAAACGTGTAGAATTTTAGAGAGATACTCACTCTTCTGGTGGAGCCAACAAATCGTCTTGCTCGGTTTCATGCTCTTTCTTGTACGCCTCCAATGCCTCCTTTGAGGCCAATATCCTCGAAATCAGGTCCTGCTTGTTCGACTTTGCAGGTGCTGCCTGGTCCACATTCGTAAGAATAGCCCTGAGGTCCACCACTTTCAATGCTTTGAGTTTGGATTCCATGAGAGTGAGAGTGAGAGTCTAAAGAGAGAGTACACGTGATTATCTCACACGCGCCCCTCTTTGTTTATCTACTCGCTCTCGTCCGACGTTTACCTCCGATACGCCAGCCAATCACAGATGGAGCCCTCCGTCGTCGATCAGCTCTTCCCTCCAAGTGCTTACCAACATGTCAATTACATTGACCAGGATTCCTTCCAACAACCACAACAGCAAGGGGATGTACCGCAGACGACGGGCAACGATGATGAGCCGTTGTATGTGAATGCGAAGCAGTATTTTAGGATTTTGAAGAGGAGAGTGGCGAGGGCCAGGTTGGAAGAGGTACATCGCTTATCGAGACAGCGAAAGGTACTCCATTTTTCAGCCGATATTGTTTTATTTTCACTCATCAGGATGCTAGCCCTACTTGCATGAATCTCGACACAAACATGCGATGCGTCGACCGCGTGGGCCCGGTGGAAGGTTCCTCACCGCAGACGAAGTAGCTGCTCAAAAGGCTGCTAATCCCAAAAGTCCTGGTGAAGAGGAGACTGCAGAAAACGACGTAGAGGAAGAATTGATAGAGGAGGAAGTCGAGGAGCCTCCTCAACAACAACAACAACAAGCTCCTCCTCCTCCAATGACTATGAACCCAGTCAACGTCTACCAACCACAGCAGCAGCCACAACCAGGCCCCAGTCATCTCTACCAACAGCACTCTCATGTTCATCCGTCCCAACTTCACCAACACCAGCACCAACCGCCCCCTCAGCCAGCAGTACCAACACCCCCAGTGAACTCTGCGCCAGTCACACTCACCTCTCCCTATCCCACACACCAACACCAACACCACCAGCATTCTCACACCACCCATCATCATTCCCATCCACACCATCGTCACGGCATTCAGATGCACCACGTACCACATCCCCACGCACACGCTCGTCATCACCATTCTACTCTCAATTTCGAACAGCAGTTGTATCCTGATCCAGGGAACTAAAACAAAATCTCTATGTATTAATACCCAGGAACCATGCTTACTTGGAAATAAACCTCATTCGATTCACACAGTCAACTTGAAGAGTCTGCGAGTACTCGGCGTTCGACAGGTCACAGTATCCTTCCCCGGGATGATTGGAAGGCATCATCGCGCGGTCATTCGCCCGCAACTCTGCATTCTGCAATTGGAAGATTCATATACGGAGGGCCTGGATTCGGCCACAGATTAGTCCGACGACACCGATGAGAAACACGATGAGAACTTCGTTACCCGAGGTCCTATCCTTCAACTTTCTCGGGTACTCCGCTTCTTCAGAACGGTTGTAAGCCATAGGTTTACCTCTCCGCATACACTCGACGAGTCCCGGACCCACAAGATAGATATCCCTCCGACCCGTTCTCAAAACTTGGAACAAGTGCCCGAGTTGGACGGTGCGGCACATTTTCCGGTTCAAATAACGACGACGTTCGGCTCCTCCCACCACCGTGCACTAATCAACACAGTCGAAAACTTTGAGGACCGTCATCTAGCTATATCGATCGATTTCTACGATAAGTTCTTTTGGAGGGAGGAGCCTCTGCGGGGCTTACTGAAGCCTACAGAACGGTGAAATGAACATGTGATGATGGTATAAATAGAGGCGTTCAGCATGTCGAGCTCTTGTGAACCACGCTGCAGTACACAAACACATCAAGGTCTTCTTACGACGGCGACGACTTCCAAAGTTCCACTACTAGCAACTCCTCCCATCCCCATCTCGAGGTCCTCTCGCAGCGACACGCCTTTATCTAGCACCCAGCGACTATGCAACGTTCCACAAAGCGCCGTCGCCTCAAACTCCCCAATATTAACTACGGCAGAGATCAGAATTTACACACTGGAGCAGGCGATCTCAACGTCAACAACATTGGGCGAGACCTCGTACAGAATGTTACCTCAACGGTCTCCAATCGTGCGTTTGACGAGATCTGTTCCGAGCTTGGCATGCGAAGGCTGACGGATTCTTTTGAGCAGCGCACGAAGCTGTATGGCGTAAAGTCGCAGCTGTAGGAGCTTCTCACACGTCAGAGCAGCAGCACGCCAGGGGAACGTGTCTCGAAGGAACTCGAGAGACGGCTCTCGAGGATATCCACACATGGCGAACCTCTAGCGACCCCTCACGTCCAGTCTGTTGGC